TGTCATTCGTATAGTCCGTCAGTCGTGTTATTCGCAAGACTTGCAAATAATGGCCACATATTTGGTGGACAAGGGGTCAGACCTGAGCTGGTCTTGTGTGGTGAACGGGGATACATATGGCGGGTCCACTGACTCATGTCTGGAGAAGTCTGGATACTTCGTGAGGAGCTGTGAGGACACACTCGTCCAGAGACAGAGAGACGCCAGAGAAGGCCGCAGTAGTACTGATATCCAGCGAAGGATCTGTTGGTAATGTCTTAAGCAAACTATCGGACTCTTCGTACATAAACTAATTTGCCTACCCGTCCCATTAGTGCCCTGTTTTTCTATCGCGATTGTATCAGCCGAGTAGTGGTGGACAGGTGTCGCGACCCCTCGCCCACAGCCGTCGACATACTGATGGGTTCCCGGAAACGGGATCTCACGACCACTTGTCGGGAGTACTCCCGCGACCAGTGCTCCCATTCATATACAACCAAATCATCGCTGATTACAGTCTTATTAAGTATTGTAATTGCATTCAAAGCTCTCAAATCAAACATATTCTAGGACCTTTTTAATTTATTTTATTTAAATGACTATATATTATGCGTGAAATAAAAAAGCAAAACAAAATTTTTTTTATATATAATTATATAATGAATGATAATTGTTATCACATTTTGATTTGTCATAAAGTCTTGGATTTTATTTTTTGTTTTGTTTTTGACTTTTTTGAATGAATTATTATATAAAAATGTTTTACAAAAAACTATTTCTATTTTCTGACACACTTTGAGATAAGAAATTAGTTTTAGCGCCAATTATATGCAATAAGTTTTCTCAACAAAAATGTATTTTTGCACAAAAGTCTATTGGATGTGAATCTCTCGAGTTATATAAGAAATTTTTATCCATATTATTATTGTATAACTAATTATATATCGATTATATTGAACACAATTTTTTTATGTAGCCTTTTATATGTGATTAACATATTTCCGATGTGTTTGTCATTATTACAAACTTTGAAAACAAAAAGTTTTTCAATTAAAAAATTTATTAACTATATACGAGTCGAGTAAACAATAATTTTTCTAGTTATTAACAAAAACTATATGTTATAATATACAACATTTAATTTTCAATTGATTTGTGCGTAAAATTGAATTATATTATAAGTTTTAACTGTAAAAACTTATGAAAACAACACAAATATTGAGGTCATTGTAAAAATCACATCATTTTTACACAACAAATAAAATATAATAAAAAACTCTTATTTCTATCGCTTTTCAAAACTTTAAGGCGTTTTGTATTTTTTGAATTATAATAATAAATACTTCGCGCGACTCGAAGGCCAGGTATGTATAGATATTTGAGGGGAAAAAATACTATTGTATTTCCACTGCAAGTGGTATTCAAAGAGATTTATGAGTGAGCGTTAAGATTAAGGTTATATCCATCGAGTGGTATAACCTCTAAAAAATCAACTGTCAGTCCATTTTCAATGCCTAACTTATTAACTAAAACTATGAAATGTAAAACAAAAAACTTTTTAAAAACAAAACAAAAGTTTTATACACAAAAAAAGAGTTCATAAAACTTAGCATAAATTAAAAATGATAATTCTTGTAGACCTGGATACAAATAAGTAAAACTTAATGTACTGGATAAATTTCTACAAAGTTCTAAAACTTGTGAAAGTTTTTGAACTACCAGTGCATAGGCGACAGCCCTCTGTCGCACGTGTAGTCTACCAGCGATAGATACTTTGCGATGCAATGCAAAACAGCATGACTTTGCTGTTCATCAATAATGTCTACACTTATATGAGTCCCAAAACCGACTGACGTATGGTTTGCAATACATTTGTGTTCCCAATGTATACACAATTCAAAGACATCATTGGTTTCCATATAATAAACACATGTTTTAAAAGTCACACAAAAATGTGTTCAAAACTTTGAGTTTATTTCAGCTTTCATTTGAAACAACTCTTTGAAAACCAATTCTAAGACACAATGAGTTCATCGGCGGTGAAGCCGAAGATAAGCACGGATTTCATACGCGGAAAGTCATCGCTGCCGACACCTAAGACCAAACTCAAGACACGGAAGTCTACGACTTTGCCGTCATCTGAGGACCAGTTGTTTGGCGTCCGGAAGCGTCGCATCGCAAGCGATGGCCAAAGGGATGGACACTAGACTAAGATGCGGAGGACGAAGAGGATGGTTGACACCGACGGCGACGATAACACTGTGGCCACCAATGAGGACAAAGTGATGATTGAGACGATGTCTGTGTATCGACTGCCGGAAGGGGTTGTGATGTATGGCTGCGTCCAACAGATCTCGGACTTTGAGCTCAAACTGAGTACAGATCGGCGCACAGATGTCGCGTGAAGTGCGTAAACCTAATGGATCTGTTGGTGACCATCGCGTTGAAGAAGTCGGCCCTCGACTCGCCCGCCCTGTCCATCGACGACCTGAAGATCGGTTGATTGAATTAATTGTATGACAAAATGTATTGAATTATAGGACAAATAGGTTTGGGTAGGTTTGGGAAGGGCTCACCATTACTGCAATTGGATGGCAACCGGGCGGTCGTCATAGCCATAGCCGTCTCGAGTGATCACACCATATGAGACGAGGCAAACTTTACAAGAGTTTCAATGTTTATCGATTGGATCCACGATTGCATGGGGTTTGTGCCGCCCATACACGTGGACCCCACGCCCACCAAAGAGGTCAAGGGTGTTGTGAGCCATTCGCACGCCATTCCCCACCAAATGGTTTTGTTCGTTAATTTGGTTGCTTTTCTGATCAGTATTTTCATTGCAAACAAATTAGTGTTTATTATTATATAACTTATATATTGAGTCTATTTTATAGACATTACATTCAATTCTTTATATTCCTTATTCTCTATTATAGAAAATTCTAATATTTTAATTCAATAAACTCTATAATAATTATAATGATTGTCGTAAACTAATATTATTGCAATTAACACAGTGTCCAGTGAAGGACTACTCAAAACATAGTAACAGTTAATACAGGATTTGGAAACATTTTAATCCAATAGTTTGATGTATTAACAAACTTTTTAAATGATTTTTAATTAAAATCAATTGACATTTATTTCTACCGGTAATGCAAATAGAGTTTAAGTAAACGTTTGGTATTTTTAGGTAATCACAAAACAAAGTTTAAATAAATTCTTTAATAATTAAATTTCTATTCAAAAGGCATTTACAGTAAATTCGTATATAAATAGCAATTCGTAATAAAATTCATATAAAATTAACAAATATTATCAAAACCAGCATTTAATGAGACTATAAGTCATGGCATTCACAGCGCTATTGCATGTAATGCTAACTCTATTTGATCCCAAAATCGGTGACTTCTTCAGCGACTCAAAAGTGAAGCAAACGATTAATGAAAGGCTTTTCGTTGATCACGACGTTTGCCATCGAATGGGGCGTCGATTTGAGCGCCGATTCCAAGTCGAGTCGATCGCCAATTCCCAGAAACGAGAACCGGAAGAATGTCTTGGGATTGGCCACCGCTTTGGCGACCAACGCCTCGATCGTGCGTTCAGTGATATTCACTCGATTCCAGCAATGGATTTGTCGCAAATGGCGGCACTCGTCGATCACCCGAATGAGTCCCGAGTCGGTGATCGACTTCAACGTCTTGAACTCGGGTTCGCCGAAACAGCTGATCACCAGAGTCTGCAGCGATTGGACGCGCGATATATACGCCAACGCTTTGTCCGTAATCTCATCCTTCGTGCGGATCAGTAGATGTCTTAAGCGCGGGAACAGGCGGTCGATGTCGACGAAGAACTCGTCGTTGATTTGATGCGAATTGAGCTCCAAATGGGTTAAGTGGCGGCACTTCCGGAGGCACTCGTTGGACAGCTTGTCGTTGGGGTACGTCTTGTCGCTGAAGTGCGTGATATCGAAGCGAAGCCGCCGTAAGGACTGGAACTCACGGAAGCCTTCGAAGCAGTTCTTCGTGTTAAACGAGTCGCTCGTCTCGAACTCGAAGGCGAATGTCTTCAGCGACCGACAGCTCTCGGCGATCATTGCCAACGATTTGGCCAAACACTGGCCTAAAGTGTCGTAATGTCCGCAATACACGAACAACACCTCCAGCTCTTTGAGTTGCGATACTTTGCGCAGCACTTGATTCGTGGATAACGTGGTCTTCATGTAGAGCCTGATGTCCAGGTGAGTTAGTTTGGGACACTCCGTGATGAACGTGTCCAACAGGTCCATGTCCTCCACGCCATAAACCGTTAGTTTCGTCACATTCTTGACGAGTAGAGTGCGGTCGACGGCGAAGAGGTTCTCGAAGTAGACGTTCGTTACGCTCGCGAGGTTTGGACACAACCCGATCAGCAGACGCGCCGCAAACATGTCCGTCGAGTAGAGGAACTCCACGTGCCGTAAGTGACGGCCAAACTTGAGGCCAAAGGCCTGTATGGCTGTCGCCGAGCAGTCGCTTAAGTCGAAGCGAATGGTCCGCAGCCGAAGACAGCACCGGGTGATGGCGTTCAACACATCCGAGTCGTTATCGATATGTTGTTTACCGAAACAGATGTCCGATATCTGGGGGAACGTCTGCAACACTTTGGCGAACGGCGCGATACGCACAGTATGTATGGCCTGACGCCTGTCGACCGTCGCGTCGGATCCGCTCGTGTCGTCCGACGGGCGCAGAAGTGTCGGCCAATTGTGGCGATCGTCGGCACAGTCGGCGTCCACGCGAAGGCACCGCTGCTGAGGCCACAGACGCCGCAGACAGCGCTGGAACTGACGACAGACACCGGTGTAGCGGATCTTGTCGTCGATGGGCAGCCACTGGAGGACGAGTTCGCACAAGTCGTCGCACATACCGGCGCTGAACGCGTAGCACGTCTTCGGCGGCCGATCGCCAACGGGCCGTCCATACGGTGGGTCACTGGCGGCGCCGCCAATCCCTTCCGCGGTGTCCATCGGTTTTAAGCGCTTCTTATACGACATCTCACGCGAAGAACCGGATCCCTGGCGAAGACATACAACGGTTTAAAAGTCTTTGCAAACAGCGATTCAAATGTTTTGTGTTTATTATCCGATGGATCACATCATTGCACTCATATGTATGGGTCGACACACATATGCTGTGACATTGGACAGTGAGTTAGGGGGTGGGGTGTGGGCGGGGAGTTGCCGTATATTTAGTATACAATGGAGGCTCATAAACGTGCGATAAGACTAGAGTAGTGTTACGATGCCAGTGAATGGCCCCATAGTACTGGCAGTATTAAGTTTACGTGCACTGTACTGACAAGTTTACATAACACACAAACTTGCAAAACATATCACATGCACATACATTATCTGTGCATTACATTAGCTCACAATTGCATAATTAATTTTAAAAAGTTTCCAACACTTGTATGCGTTTATATTACTATAATATATAGTTTATATTATAAACTTTATAACCGTAAGTACATTTGAATGTGAGTTTATAAGCGGCGGCACAGGTAGGGTATGTCGTCTACGGCCATATTACGTTGAAAGCACCGGTAGACTCATCAGATCACCGAAGTTAAGCTCCCGAGAGCCCGGTTAGTACTTGGGAGGTCTCCACCTGGGAATACCCGGTCGATTAGACTTTTTTTCAAATTATTTTTTTTAAAAAACTTTTTAAGTATGTTTTGGTTATAAAGTTACCTGTTGGGAGTTTCATAATGGTATTTCTCACATTAAATTAAAATACACGGACTATAAACCACTCATTCAATACTTAGTTACAGTAATAGCATTATTTTGATTTTAAAAACCTTTGGCAATTATTCTTACACATAGACTTTTGTCGAAAACTTTTGATAAACTTTTGTTTCAAACATTAGGGACACCGATATTGTAAAAACTTTTATCGCGATTCATTTTCAATTTGCGAACACTTTGATTTCAATTGAAATATGATTTTTATTTTTGATTTAATTTTATATACATGTAGGTACATACAGTACTGTATATATACCTGGAGTTACAAAGATTTTAAACAATAATTTATTAGAAAATGTGTTTATAAAATGCTATAAAATAATAACATGTCATAAGTTAGTGGTAATAGACTCATTAATTGTTTCAACCTTGTTATTAAAATCCATATGTTTAGTGATATTGAATTGGTAGAGTTTAATGGAAAATCAGTTTTAATAACCAATTAAATAGCTATTAATGAAACTTAATGCCATTTACAGTACTGTATAAGTTATGGAAAACTGGTGCTATAATAATAATGTGTTTTAAATTGTTTACATTTTCGTTACTTTTAATTAGTATTCAATACTCAATGGCGAGAAAAATACATTCTTCTGGTTATCATAAAGTTGATGAAGAATATCAATACAGAAGTGATTGTTAGCAATGGATAACTCAATATTGTTTTCAACTGATCTGCCGTACATTTAGTATACAATGGAGGCTCATAAACGTGCGATAAGACTAGAGTAGTGTTACGATGCCAGGGAATGGCCCCATAGTACTGGCAGTGTTAAGTTTACGTGCACTGTACTGACAAGTTTACATAACACACAAACTTGCAAAACATATCACATGCACATACATTAGCTGTGCATTACATTAGCTCACAATTGCATAATTAATTTTAAAAAGTTTCCAACACTTGTATGCGTTTATAGTATAAAGTAAACTTTATAACCGTAAGTACATTGAATGCGAGTTTATAAGCTGCGGCACAGGTAGGGTATGTCGTCTACGGCCATATTACGTTGAAAGCACCGGTAGACTCGTCAGATCACCGAAGTTAAGCACCCGATAGCCCCGGTTAGTACCTGGGAGGTCTCCACCTGGGAATACCCGGTTGATTAGACTTTTTTTTGTGCAAATTTTTTATTATTTTTTATAACTTTTTAAGTGTGTTTTAGTTATAAAGTTACCTGTTGGGAGTTTTATAATGGTATTTCTCACATTAAATTAAAATATACAAACTATAAACCACTCATTCAATAGTACGGTACAGTAATAGCATTATTTTGATTAACAAACTTTGACAACTATTCTTACACATAAACTTTTGTCGAAAACTTTTGATAAACTTTTGTTTCAAACATTAGGGACACCGAAATTGTAAAAACTTACCACGGTTCATTGTCAATTTGCGAACACTTTGAATTCAATTGAAATATGATTTCTATTTTTGATTTAATTTTATATACATGTAGGTACATATACCTGAAGTTACAAAGATTTTAAAAATAGTTTATTAGAAAAATGTGTTTATATAATGCTATAAAATAATAACATGCCGTAAGTTAGTGGTAATAATACTATTAATACTCATTAATTGTTTCAACCTTGTTATTAAAATCCATATGTTTAGTGGTATTGAATTGGTAGAGTTTAATGGAAAATCAGTTTTAAAACCAATTAAATAGCTATTAATGAAACTTAATGCCATTTACAGTACTGTATAAGTTATGGAAAACTGGTGCTATAATAATAATGTGTTTTAAATTGTTTACATTTTCGTTACTTTTAATTAGTATTCAATCCTTGAATGGCAGATCAGTTGAAAACAATATTGAGTTATCCATTGCTAACAATCACTTCTGTATTGATATTCTTCACCAACTTTATGATAACCAGAAGAATGTATTTTTCTCGCCATTGAGTATATCCATAGCGTTCGCGATGCTATATACGGGCGCAAGGGGTGAGACATCACGGGAACTACACTCTGGGTTAGGCTATGACTTGATAAGACTGTCTGACCGGGAAATCATTGAGCAGTTTGCAGAAATAATAGCCCAAATCAATGACAAATCAATACTAAAATCATATGAACTCAACATTGCCAACAAAATTGTCACTAAAAAGGGATTTCAGATCTTTGACTCTTATCAACAAAGTTTGAAAAAGTATTTCAATTCAAGAATCGATTCCTTAGACTTGATCTCCAATCCGGAAGCCATTAGAGATTCAATCAATCATTGGGTCGCAAAACAAACTAACGATAAAATTGAGGAAATACTGCCCTTACCTCTGGACCCGACCACTCGTATAGTTATATTGAGTGTCATTTACTTTAAGGGTTTGTTTGCCACAAAGTTTATCAAAAGCTCGACTCGAGAGGAACCCTTCTTCACCGGTGAACTCAAGGGACAGATGTCGTTGAAGACACCAATGATGAAAAGGAAAGGTATCTTCAATTACACGGAAATACTAGAACTCGACTGCAAACTTCTGGAGATACCCTATTCGGGTGATGATCTCAGTCTATACATAGCGCTTCCCAATCAACAACAAGGACTCTCAACATTGAACTCTAAATTAAACGATTTTAAGATCATTGAGAAGGCTATCCGTCGACTATATCCCATAGAAGTGGTGGTAACGGTTCCCAAATTCAGAGCTGAGGCCTCGTACTCATTGAAGCAACTGCTGATGACTTTAGGCGTTAATAAAGTTTTCACAGAAGATGGAAATCTGAGTGGAATCGACAGCCAGAACAGTCTATACGTGTCTGAAGTTATACATAAGGCTTACATAGATGTGAATGAAGAGGGGACCGAAGCGGCCGCCGCCACTGCCTTCAAAATAATGACCAAATCCGCTAAATCTAAACCAAATGTCTTCAAAGCCGACCACCCATTCATGTATTTCATCAGAGATAACAACAACGGAATGGTATTATTTGCTGGATATATGAATAAACCATAAATTGCACTCAAATCTCATTAAAAAACTAATCATTTATTCATTCAATTAATAAAATCATATGCCAATTAAATTTCACATATAATATATAGTTAATAAGTGACATTTTATTTAATACAAACTCATTTTTAAATTTAATTAAGCCATTATTTATGAAATTCAATTCCATTTAAAAGTTTTTAATTTAGAAAAGTTGTATTGAAATTATGTGCAAATTGTTTACATTATTACTATTTTAAATTTTAATTCATGTCTTAAATGGCAGATCAGTTGAAAATAATATTCAGTTATCCAGTTAATATAGCGTACGCGCGATGTTATACATATGGGCGTAAGGGGTGAGACATCACGGGAACTACACTCTGGTTTAAGCTATGAAATGATACAACTTTCTGACCAACAAATCATTGATCAGTTTGCAGAAATAATAGCTCAAATCAATGATCAATCGATACCAAAGACATATGAACTCAAGATTGGGGACAGAATTATCACTAAAAAAGGATTTCAAGTCTTAGATTCTTATCAACAAATGTTAAAACAGTATTTCACATCAAGAATCGATTCTTTAAACTTGAAGTCAAATCACGAAGCAATCAGAGATTCAATTCAATCAATGACTTATTAAGTCACAAATCACTTATTAAATCTTAAAAACACAAAAAAAGATCACTTCTTAAACAAAATTTCCAATTTTATTTCAAATCATTTAAAATTCACCACAAAATTGACATCGAAATCAATGAATTCATTACAAACTCGTGACTCAAACGCCAATCTCATGGCAAACAGTCTTTACATATGATTTTTATAACTTATTATTAATTACTGTAATTAAATTCAAAATTCATATCATATCCACGTTTACGAGCTCTTGGAACTGGTGGGCACCACCTGCCAGACACGGATCAAGTGGTCGGTATAGCCGGCGAACAGCGTAATACCGTCGGCACTCCAGGCCAGGGATATGCACTGCGGGGCCTTAGTCTTCGAGGAGGTCGAGATCACCTCCGGCTTCAGGTCGTCCACCAATTGCTTGCCCTCGAGGTCCCAGATCTTAATCGACGGACCGGTCGCCACACACAGCCAATAGCGGTTGGGCGAGAAGCACAGGGCGTTTATGATGTCGTTGTGGTCCAAAGTGTACAAATGCTTGCCTTCATTCAAGTCCCACAGCATCGCCTTAAAGTCCTTTCCTCCCGACGCGCAAAGGGAGCCGTCGGGCGATACGGTAACGGTGTTCAGGTATCCCTGGTGTCCGATATGGTTGGTCTTTAGCCGACAATTGGTCAGATTCCAGACCTACAGGTGCCGCCAAATACAAGGCATTAGTAAATCCATTGAATGCAATGCAAACTCATTAACAAAATGAATGATTAAAACACGTTATCATAAATGCAGAACAACTTGTCACCACATATGGGATCAGTTAAAGTGTGATCGGATATAATCATATAACTAAACACTATTTCTAACTCATAGACATCGCCGGCATTACTGTCGGCCCACAAACATCACACATACCTTCACGTGTTTATCCCAACCGGCGCTCACGATAATGGGGTTGGAGTTGGAGGGGGAGAAGCGGACACAACTGACCCAATCGGTATGGCCCTCCTCCTGGATGGTGTACTTGCATTGAGCCAAAGTGTTCCACAACTTGATGGTCCGGTCGCGACTGCCGGACACGATCTGCCGGTTGTCGGCGCTGAACGCCACGGACAGCACGTCCTTCGTGTGGTCCTCGAAACGGCGCGTAGTCTTACCGACCGCCAGATCCCACAACCGCAGCGTCTTATCCCACGAGCCGGACAGCGCGTACTGTCCGTCCATCGACAGCACCACGTCGGTGATGAAGTGGCCGTGTCCTCGGAGTCGCTTCTGCGGTATGCCGTAGTTGGAGTCCTCCCGAAGCAGTTTCCAGACGATGAGTGTCTTATCGCGCGATGAGGACAGTATGGTGTCCGGGAAGCGGTTGTTGGTGGCGATCTGTGTCACCCACGAGTTGTGCCCAATGAGTGTGCCTTTGAGGAGCAGCTCCTCGTTGGGCGACGCGGTGGTGGTCGTTGTCATCGTTGCTGACGATTACGTTCGCTTTGGCGGTGAAATCAATTGATCCGGTGATCAACGCTGTGGTGCACAGAAAGACACGTTTGTCGTAGCGTTGAGTCCAAAGCGGAAAAGGATTTGAGACAATGTGTGCGCAATGCACGTGACCTCTGGTGAGCAACCATTGCTGTGCATACAGGACGTGCGCTAAACTCTGATGGCTTTCCCGTGCGTGTGATTTGCCATTAGTTGGGTTTGGTTTTAATTTTTTTGATTTAATTGTAGACTAATCAAGCTCAATTATGCGCGTGTTTAATGATTTAGTGATTTAGTTTAGTTTTAGTGTATTTTTGGATGACTTTTACACATTTTCAACACATTTCCGTACGTACTATATGGGTGGACCCACTCATTGAAGTCCCCATTGAAAGCGGATTTGATTTTGAAAACAAAACACAAAAACTTTATTTTAATTTCAATTAAATTGATACACATTTCAAAGACACCGCCGAAGACATCGTGAGATAACAGCGCCGAAGACTCGATCACAGCATGCGTTCATCACGTGATGGCACCGACAGCCGGCACCGGGACTCGTCGTCGTCGCGCCGATCGGACGATCGCGTCGACAGTCGCCGCCAGAGCTCACAGTCATCCACCACTTCCTCATCGGTGTCGTCGCCGTCCATCAAACGCATGAAGACCTCCAAAGACGGCTCCGGCTCTTCGACCTCGTCGTCAACTTCCAAGTTGGCCAACAGTAGCGGTTCCCGCGATCGACAGCCGCCTGTCAATGAGCCGCGCATTGATGTCCTGAAGCTGTCGATGGAGGCGATGGCCGCCGAGGAGGACGAGGCCATCAATAAGACAACCGCCGAACAGGACGTGAAGGAGTTTCGGCTGAAGTGTAACTCCATCCGCGATATCTGTAATCAGATACTCGAGGCTAAGAACTCGGGCGACAAGAAGACGGTGGACGCGCTGCGAGTGAAGGGTTCGCTGCAGTTCTTGGCGCTCAAGACGTTGAACCGGTTCGACAAATACCGGTGCAGAGACGCCAAGGATAGGCTGTCGGCCGCCAAGCAAAAGGTGGACTGCTTTCACCTGCAGCTCCAGAACATGCTCTACGAAGTAATGCATTTGCAGAGGGAGTGCAACACATGTCTGGCCTTCCGGTCCAAAGACGAGGACATCGATTTGGTTCCGTTGGAGGAGTTTGAAGCGACGGCTGACGAGGAGATCCGGGCGAAGGCTGTCGACGACCACACGAGACATTTGGCACGACTTGATTGGGAGTTAAAACAACGCATGGAATTGGAGCTGAAGCTGAAGAGCGCCGAAGAGGCGAAGAACTCGTCGGAGGCGGCGATTGTCGCCAAACGCGAGACGTTGGATAAGTTGCAGCCAATGCTGAAGTCGGTGGTGGAAGCGACGCAACCGCTGTACGCGGAGCTCAATATACCTCTTCAGGCGAACGACGCCATCCACGCCATGGCTCAGTATCTGTCGCGACCGCTGTATGTCCTCTACGTTCAGCTCGTGTCCTATAAACACGCGAATCGATCGCCATTTTCGGTGAAAATCAACGGAACCGTTGAGGACGTGAAGACATTCGAGTTGAACGCGAAGGCCGAGGAAGAGGAGGATAATGAGGAACAGGAGGACGAAGAGGTTCGCAACAGGAAGAGCAAGAAGTCGAGACACCGGCGCAAGTCGACGTCCCACACCAGTAGGACTCTGTGGAACAAATTGATTGCATGTCACCCGTTGACAGTTGAAGTCGGCTTCAGTAGAAACGGATCCACTCTGAAGTGTGTCTTTAGTTTTGTGTTGCGTTTGGAGATCGTGTCGATTAAAGTGAATGTCGAACAACAGAATCAATCACCCGATGGACACTTTGAAGTCATCAATGAATCAGTTTTGTCGCACCTGTTGTCTGATGGCGACGATGGCCTCCAGTCGCCAAACCCGGCCAACGATCACACCATCAAAGCCTACGGCGTCGATGAGTTCAGTTCATTGACTCCGGAGTTAGGGTTTGTTTATAGTTGGTGTCAACGCCTGTCAGGACTCGACTTCATCACCAGTAACGCCAGGAATACATCCAATTCCCTATCAATCAATTCCATGGATCAGACAATCAAAGCCATTACCAAACGTTTCGAGTCGAGACTCGCTCTTCAGCGACAACTCTGCCGTTTGGATCGGAGTTTAGTGGAGTTGCCGCCGGCGCTGACCTCCGAGTCCGCGCCTCAAGTCATGTCACAAATCAAAGGCTTTAAAGAACTCAATAGAGAAGAGTTTCAACGCGTTTGTCGATTAAGTGATCCCATAATCACCGAATCGATGGATATGGATAAGTGTTTCCTATATCGAGCTCTGGTGGAAAGGGGTTCAGCATCCCTGACCGCACACATTATCATACCATTGGATTATCCTAAGAATCCGCCATTTTTTCACCTCTCGATTGGCTCGCAGTCAGAGTCTCATAAGAAAAGTTCGGACCCATTGCTCCGGGAGTTGGAACAGCTGGTGAACTGTTGGTGTCCGGCCCACTGCGACCGCCAATCCGTAGCAGACCTACTGTCCCTTCAGTTGCATCGATTGCAATCTGGATTTGACAGGTATTTAGAGGCCGTTCAGTCGACCGGTGGCGGAGCCGAAGGTCCCAAAGAGTTTGCCGCACATAAGAGCTCGCAGTCGAGACATACGACGGGCCGCGACCACTGTATCTCATATCACGCGGACATTGATGATGATAATGAAGACATGGATGACTAGCTGTTGTGGTCACAGAATTGCTCGTAAAGACAAATCATAAAACTTTTTTTTGTGTTTCCATTGTATTAATGATTGAATGTTTAGTGAATTTTAAAAGCAAAATACTTGTGAAATAATCTTTTTTCTTATTTTAAATAAATAAATTGTATTTTTATTTTCTCATACGATTAACAGTATATTCTGGCGTTTGTTTTAATTATCTTGTTTGCCATTTAGAGTGTAGTTCCGATTGAGTGAACAATAATGAAGTGTCGGAACGGTATTGAACAATATATTTGTTGTGACATTTAGTTTCTGTGATTAAGTTGTGTTGAAAAACAAATGCTTTTATCATTTAGTGCCTGTATTTTGATATAATGCTTAACAAACAGTTTTTTCTCGTCTATAATAATCATTGATTAGTCTTTGCGACGAAAGTCTTAAGGCGTTGGAGAAGGCATTGATTGAATCAATAGTGAGTATAAGATAAATACAAAACGATAAACAATAAAATAGAGGAGAAAATTAGGATATGAGTCGAGACGGAAGAGAGAGAGAGAGAGAGAGAGGGAGAGAGAGAAGTTGTTAAAGAATTGATTCTTTGCCACAACAACTGGAAAACACACGAATAGTATAGTAAACACACAAATAGCGAAAGGGAGACAAGTCTTTACATTTAATGTAATTAATTTCAATCAATTATTTATGTAATGGAGAGACAGCCGTTGAATTGGTTGTGAAGGCATGGGATGCGAAATACAGCGGACTTAAGTAATTAGTGTCATTCCAGTGGCTATTACTGTAGAAAAATGGATTACCGTTTGCTTTCAGCGTATGATTACTGTTGGCAGTCATGGCATTAAATGCGGTGATTGTGGAGGTGTTGGTGGAGTCGGGCGATGAGAGGGACGATAGTAGCTTATCGGTGGCGGACCTGTGGTGGTGGTGGTGCGGGTCCAGTAGGTGGCCTGGATGTGACTGTTTTTGCAATAAATGCATGATATTAGTGGCGGCTATACTCTCAGCGTTGGCCGCCTGCCGTTCCCTTTGCCTGAACTGTTCCTTCTTGTGTTTCGTACGTCTATTTTGGTACCAAATCTTAATCTATTATCTCATTAAATAGAGAATATAAAGAGATTTTTCAGTAAACAAGTAGTTTTTTTTCTCGAGATTAAGTTCTGTATTAAATTCAATGTGTTTTTGTGTTTTGTTTCGTTTCGTGTGTAAAATACAAATGAAAATGTAGTGAAGAATAATCAAATGCTTTAGTTTTCATGTGTAATACAATTATCGCAATCGTTGGCAACGATTATAATTGTAGCGAAAAATGGTAAGAAAATAATGATCGCAACACAACTGAACACTTAAACTGAATATATTATGTATAATAAAGTTGTCATCAGATCTCTCACGAGTGCTTAGCATAAGAATAATTTATTTGAAAAAACTCTTAAACATTGCAAACGTATGACTCAAATGAGATGTCTTTCTCTCGTAAGAAGTCTTATCTCCGATAAGAGATCTCTTCGTTTCGCGGCGTTTGCTTTGACAGACATTTTTGGATACAATTAACAAATTATTTCATTATTTTTTGCGCTCAAAGTCTCAGCGCACAGAATATTAGCCAAGAATTTTCGTTTCCCTCTCTGTATTTGTATTACACATAAGTCTCTGAATTGCAACTAATTAAGGATTCAGCTGTCAATCATGTAGTGTTTAGTATTAGCTCTCTCTCTCTCTCTCTCTCTCACCTGTGCCTCTGAGAGGTCCAGTTGTTTAGATAGAGATTTACGCTCTTTTCCCACAAGATATTGATTTTTGGCGAAAGATTTCTCCAATTCCTTCAATTGTCTTAACGTGAAGTTAGTTCGCGAGCGTTTGGGTCTCTCCAGATCGAGACTCTTTGGGAAATACATCTCTTTTGTGTTGCCTCTCGTGTCTGCACAAAGTCGTCGTTTCAATGGGTGACACAAACAGATGGATATAAATTAATAATTAAAACTACAAATAGAGACTACATGTCATTCAATAATAAATGATTTCAATTATAAATGAATTGATGAAGTAAGACTTTTTATTGTATTGTGTGTTTTCATATGCATTGCCGTATATTCTTAAAGCATAAGTTGTTAAATTATTAAAACATAAGGTATGCTGTAAAACTAAAATGCAAAAATAATGATATGAATAATGCATAAGATTGTTAATTTAATTTTATAAGATAATATTAGAATTGAATAAAATGTTAAATTAACATAATATAT